CCATGCAGAAAATTTTTATGCCCTGCACTACTGTGAGGTATTTTATGCCCTAAGAATGTACTTTACTCACAGTTGATATAGTAAGAAAGGAAAAAATCAGAGGCTGAAGGTAATTTTATTGTGGTATCATTGTGTTGGCATTACTCCATTTTCTGGATTGCAGTGATAAGTAATAAGCTTTAAAATTCTGTATTATAAATAAAATAATTTGCCACAAATTAAATGACTTATTTGGAGTACAATGGCATAAAATCGGTCTTTGCTAAACTGAGTGGAAATACGTAAGTCAGACTGAACTGGACTTGAGAAAAGTCAGAGTAAACCCAGCAAGTTCGTGTTGTCTTTGTGATTCCTAGTCTAATGTCTTTTTTTCCTGCTTACCTTTTTCTTTAAGGTTCAGTTCAGAAGTCTCATAAGCTTCATCTCTCCACTTACCTAATTATTCTGGGCAGAGGGTTGAAGCATATCAACTACAGATATTGGCAGGCCATAATGGATTTATGGCCCTTCTATCCAAGGTCTGGATAGAAACCAGACCTTCAGTAGTCTCAGCCATCTGGAACTGAAATGATAAATCTAGAAACGATAATAAAAGTTCTCCGAGTAACAGATATTTTTCATAAAACCTAGGCACTAAAGTCAGTGCGCTTTATTTCACAGAACAGATGATCTGCCCTTAGGCAAGACTACTGAATATGAAATTGGGTGGTAGATTAAAGTAGGGACATAATGATGTAACAAATAATGATAACAGAGAAGATAGGGAAAAAACATTAAACAGCAGGACTGGCTATAGCCATTTAATATAGGCTTAGAGGTTAAGTAATTTGTCTGTGATCATCCAGCTAGTAAGTGGAATTGTCTGGGTTTGGATTCAGATTGATTCCCATTCATTCCTCTTTCCACTGAAAGGTTCCATGCTTGGTCATCTTGGGAAAGATGTTTGACCAGCATGACCATTGCTTAGGAGCAGGGTTCAAACTTGATTTTGTAGCAGTTTGAGGTTTTTGAGTAGGAGAAGGACTTGGTATTTTTTTAGAGTATCAATGAGTCATCTGAAAAATTCATTGGAGTAGTGGACATATGAGGTAGGGGGAAGACCATTTAAGACATTAGAGTTAAATAGGAGTGAGGTAATAAATGATTTGGAAGGCAGAAGAAAAATTAAGGTAAAGTAAGGGAAGATGTTTGAGACCTGGAGACAGTGCCTTTATTTGAGACAGGGTCTCACTCTTATCATTCACTGCAGTGCAATGGTACGATCTTAGATCATTGCAGCCTCCACCGCCTGAGCTTACCTCAGCCTCCCGAGTAGCTGAGACTACAGGCATGCACCACCATGCCTGGCTAATTTTTGTATTTTTTTTGTAGAGACTGGGTTTGGCTATGTTGCCCAGGCTGGTCTTAACTCCTAAGCTCTAGTGATCCACCTGCCTTGGTCTCCCAAAGTGCTGGGATCATGCCTAGCCAGATAGTGCCGTTTTTAAGAGGATCAAAGGATGTTGGAGTCAATGGGAAGCAACTTTGAGTTCAACGCCTTCATTTAAAGAAGTAGGGAAACTGAAGCCCTGAGATAAGAAGTACCTTGGTCTAAGTTCCTAGCTAGGAAAGGCCTCTTACAACAGTCTTTTACCCAGCTCTGTCCTTCTGTTCTCATTGTGCTGTAATCCTCAACTACTCAATTAAAATTACCTGGCAGGTAGTATTGAAGTACGTACCCTCTGTTTATACTCCAAATCCCTCCTTGTTGGCCTCATAGCCACTTAGACATCACGGTGTATTTCTAACTGTGTCACAGTGTCTTCACTGCCCACTGTCTCTATGATTGAAGAGCCATCTCATTGAATTGATCACAGATTTCTCCTTGAGGCTTGTCTTTTTACTGTGGTATTTCCTCCCCTAGAATGTCTTGCTGTCTTGGATTTAGAATATTTATGTACTTGGATTTATTTCCATTGAATTTTTAAGTATCTCTCCCACACAGTCCATTACGGGACAGCTGTTGACATATACCATGGTGGCTGTTACAATGGAGGAATCTTCTTTAAAAGGATGTTCTCACTGACCTGTTTATCAAGACTGCATGAGTCACTTTTTCTTCTTTTCTTCTTGAAATCTCCTTTCATGTTTTCAGTCTCAAAGAATGACTGATTGGCAGAAACCTTGAATATCACCTTAACTAAACGCCTTTATTTGATAGATTTAAAAACCATGGCTCTAGGAAATTGGAGCTTTTCCAAGGTCATGGTGAGTTAGTGACAGTGAAAGAAAGTTGCTTGATCTGTCAACTAGTCTTCTAATTTATGAAGTGGTGATGATTCCAACTTTAACGACCTCAGACTTTTAAAATGAGGATTAGTGAGGGAAAAGTGTGAAAATCATAAACAAAATGGAAGTATCATCAACGCTTTTAGTTCAAGGCAAAGCTGTACTCTTTGAAGTTGAAGAAAATGAGGAGTACTTATTGTTATAAGACTTGCTTTTCATTAGGTTGTAAATTTCTTGCTGGCAGAGATCTTAGAAGCTAGTCCAACTCCTAATTTAGTATTTTACATGTAGGAGAATTGAGGTCGCACAGTTAGTTAGCAGAGCCCAGAATTCATCTCAGCCCCTTTATTCCACATTGCATACACAGCACCTTGTGTTTGCAATCTAGTGTGTAGGCACAAGAGCAGTTTCAACACAGTGAGATTTGTGTTGCTGTGGTGAAACGTGGAAAATGAGAGCAGAATGTCCCTCATCCTCGGTGTGACAGTTCCTTATGCGCTTCTGTGGTTTGCCCCAGGAGAGCGTGGACAGCTTCTTTTAAGTCATTGTCTAAAAGCAGTAGACATTTCTATGTATTCATAGTTGAGGTTAATAAGCACACTTCTTCCTGATTTCTTCCTTCATCTAAGTTGCTCTTGTCATTTTAGAGCTGTCTTGTCATAATGCTCAGGGAAAGTACATAGGTCAGAGTCCTTTTTACTGTCAGGGGTTTCACATGTGAAAGCCTAGATGGTGAAGCAACAAATTCATGTTAAAAAAATCACTGTGACTAGGGAGTTCTAGGCCGGAGGAAGGGTGGGATATCTGTCAGGGATGCATACATAGTAGCATAGACACTGGGAATGAGTTTTGCTTGTGCCAGTACCTATATTACATATCTAATCATCTCAACTCCCAGCTTTGTAGGGGAGGTAGCAGTCTGAATTGTGTTCATCTTTACCCTGTCTGGCAACAGATACCATCTTATTTCCCTTTCATGTAATTGCTTGCAACGTGGCTTTATGTGTGAAATATGTATTACTTTGGAAACATTTGAAATATCCTAAACAAAATCATCAAAACAATATTTTTCTCTCTTTCTTTTTTTTGATGCAACAGAAAATGCCCCAAAAACAATAGAGGACGTCGACAGAAGCAAAACCTAGGTCATTTTACTTCAGATACGTCATCCAGAATGGTTTAAACTGATGATTTTTATATGTACACTGACCATGTGATGTACATTTATTATGTCTTTTTTTAAAGAATGGAAATATTTATTTCAGAGGCCTTATTTTTGGACATTTTTAGTGTAGTACTGTTGGCTTGTATTTAGAATATTCAGCTACGACAGTTTTGGACTGTTTAGTAGTCTTTGTTTTATGTTTTTAAATACAGAAATTGCTTTCACAAATTTGTACCACATGGTAATTCTAAGACTTGTTATTTACCCGTGGAATGTAATATTTTTACAAAGATGGACCACTTCACAAATGGTTATAAAGTCATATCCACATCTTCCACAATGACCACAGCAAATGACCAAGCATGAACTAAAGGTAAAGATGTTTACAGATTACTTTTCTTACAAAAAAATCTAGAAGACACTGTGTTTAAATAGATATTTAAATGTTTTTGAGATTTAGTTACTGATTTTTTAGACACTGCCTATCGCATGAACTGTAAAGCTGTGTGTGTTAGGTGTAAAATACTTATAAGATATATGGACTGGGGAATTTGGTTATTCCTCCCTTTGAAAAAATAATTCTAATAATTTGAAAAAGTATGTTAGTAATGATGGAACAGATCAGTGAAAAATAGATTTAGATATTGTGAAAATAGGCTGTTTAACAAACAGATTGGAATAAAGCCTATTCTACCAGTTAAACTACTTTAATACACATTCATTTTTAAAGAAAATATTTGTTTTAACATAAATAAACAAAATGTATCAGTGTTTGTGAATAAAATACAAAAATGATTGTTAATTATTGGTGCTCTTAGAGTGAGCTTAAAAATTATCTAAGACCTCTATCCAAATTTGTCCTGTAGTAATAGATTAATATTCATAGATTGTTGGTGTTTAAAATCTGAAGTGTGAGTAGAATGTATTAAGCTGTTTAACATGTAGTTTAGATATTCAAAAGTATGCATGTAGAATTTAAAGAATATGTTAAAAATTATTAATTTTAATATTTTGTTTGGAAAAGCATGTTATAATATAATGTTTTCACTATATGGCCTCTGTTTTGGTGTGTTTATTTACCAAATTTTTCAATATTGCTGTTTCAGTATATTTAATATGTGAAATTAGTAGAAAAAGCAGATTTTAGTTAAGAATTCCCCTTTGCTATTACAAATACTGAATGAAATGATCTAAAGGCAAAAGCTTTACCCAACATTTGGAGTTAGCTTTTTTGATCATTTGGTTTCTAGGTTTAATATTAGTTACATAGTGGCTTTAGTGAACTTAAAAAAAAAAAAAAAACTTTCCTCTTCTACCCACACAGTCTTATTTGAGTCCCTTAGTCAGTCAGCAAGCATGTTTGGAACAGTCCCTGGTGCTTTGCAAGGGTTCAGATTGCAGAACAGTCACATATGGCATTTGTAGTTATAAATACTTGACCATTCTCCAGGGGTGGGGTTTCCAACTCTTTAAACAACCCTGTTGCCTGTTATCAAGCTGACTTTTTGCTCTAAGTGCCAGAATTGATTGTGGTTAGGACATCTTTCACTGAGAAATAAATAAAATGGAACATAATGGATCTGCCTCAAATGCTGATAAAATCCACCAGAATCGCCTATCAAGTGTTACAGAAGATGAAGACCAAGACGCTGCTCTTACAATTGTGACTGTGCTGGACAAAGTGGCCTCCATTGTGGACAGTGTGCAGGCAAGCCAGAAGAGAATAGAAGAGAGACACAGGGAAATGGAAAATGCCATAAAATCCGTCCAGATTGACCTGTTGAAGCTTTCACAGTCACATGGCAATACAGGCCATATCATTAACAAGTTGTTTGAGAAAACCCGAAAAGTCAGTGCTCACATTAAAGATGTGAAAGCTCGGGTGGAGAAGCAACAAATTCATGTTAAAAAAGTTGAAGTCACGCAAGAGGAAATAATGAAGAAAAACAAATTCCGGGTGGTAATATTCCAGGTAAGCTTGCACTTGTGTTCTGTTTGCTTGTTATAATCTCTTACATCTTTTAATTGCAAAAAAGTCATATCACAGGTTTCCAGTGTCACATCTTAACTATTGTATATATTAATACAATGAGGTTCTACAGAGATCTCAGGATAAAACCATTGCTCTCAACCATTTCGTGTAATATGAACTGCGGCTCATAGCTTAGGCTATTTCTTGCATTTGAAAGTTAATATTGGTAAGGCCCTTTCAGCATGTTAGCCTTATTAGCTTGCTGCCCTCTCACAGACTTTGAAAATGTTCGAACTAAAACAGGATTCAGAAACCTCTAGTTTAAAACACTTCTTTGTTCTCTAAAAGAAGAAACTGACAACCAGTAGCTCCACAGTGGTTTTTTTTTTTTTTTTCCCCACTTACGTGGAGCGTCTGTAAAGCCCTAAACAGCCCTAAACTTTTCAGAACATGATGTGTATATTGGAATTTTTACAGACAGATCACAGTGATAGCTATTTCCCAATGAACATTGAGGCAATTATTCTTATTTTTCTTATTGTTATTATAGTAACAATATATTATACAAATATATGAGTCACATAAATAATTCCTTATGTTTGATTACAAAATCTTTTTACTTAACTGATTTAATATAATTTTTTTGTGTGTGTGGTATTGTGTATTGAGCCAAGTTCCCATATTATTCTGTGCTTGGCACTCATATTTTTGGAAATAGGAACATATTCATGGCAAATGCATAATATATATGGTGTATTTTTTAAACTCTTACAGTTAAAAGGAAAAAAATTGAACATTCCTTCACAGTAGAAAAATGGAAAACTGTCATTATCAGGCAGTTTACAAAACACAAATAAGAATAAAATTCTACTTTCACCTATTTAAATGTTGGCAATTATTACAACCTATAATTACAGGTTAATTTAAGGATTGGAAAAAAACACTTTCATATTTTGTTGGTAGAAATATTGATATAACATTTTCAAAAGGCAAATTTGGTAGTATATATTAAGAAATTTTAAAATTCACAAACTTTTTGGCCCCAGAATTTTATGTCGAAGAATTTGTTCTATGCATAAAATCAGGAATGTGTTCAGGGATGTTCCCTGGTGCATATAAAGTGTTATTTTTTAAAATGACACCTGTATTTTTAAAAACAAGTACTTATGTACATAGGGAAAAAACTCTAGAAGAATATAAACTAAATGAAATAGGAACACAGTTGGATTATGTAGAAGATAATTTGTAAAACATGAGGGATGTGGCCTATAACTCCCCACAGCATTCTTTACACACTAGGCAATTCTCCATAGCCCTCTGTTGACTGATAAGGTTACACTGTGATGGTAGACTGGTATTTCAGATCTGTTTTTAAGAGCCTGTGGGTTATTCGGGAAAAATAATAGGGAAGAGAGTGAAGAGTTGCTTATTTCAAAGGTAGATGGGGCAGACTGCCATTTGAAATTCTTTATCATTTCCCTTTCCTTTCATGTCCCTGGAATCCCTTCTATAGGCTTAAAAATTTGGGAAAAGAAGACAAAGTCTGGGCAATGTGACAGAACCCCGTCTCTATAAAAATTACAGAAGTTAACCAGGTGTATTGTGTGCCTGTGTTCCCTACTACTCAGGAGGCTAAGGTGGAAGGGTAGCCTGAGCCTGGGGAGGTCAAGGCTACAGTGAGCCATGATTGTGCCACTCCACTCCTGCCTGGGTGATTGTGAGACCCTGTCTTAAGAAAAAAAAAATTGAAAAATTGAAAAAAAGCAGTCACCTGATTTTCAGAGGCCAGTTCCAGTGTTGGTATATATAGTGGGAAATGTAGTATCCATTCTTTGATTCACCTTCTGAAGACATTCACAATTGTGGGTGTATCTTACCCTCCACTGGCATGGGCGCATGGCCAGGAAACATACTTGGCATTCACCACTGCTGAGAACCTTTGTGTAAAGCAGTGGACTAAGTGCCAATCAAGATTTACAAAAGCAAGAGCAAAGAAGTTTCTGAAAAGTTTCCATTGACTCTGTTCATTGACATAACTCTTCTTTCAACTTTAAGATGTTTCTATGTTCACCTGTTTAGTCCCTGTGACTTACTGCTAATTGTTCCTTTCTTTGATCCCTTGTAGTTATTTAAAGCAGCTGAGGGGTGCTAGTTTAGGGCATATCTCTTTTCTTGTAAGAAATAATGCCATAAAGATTCTGTATAATTAAGCTGTTCAGAGTAAGCAGCAGTTCATCAAAAAGTAATTGCTATCATTTATAATGGGAGAGCTTGTAGAGAAAAGATAAATGGACATAGAACTCTGATTCAAAGATGCATTAGATGTTAGGATACTGTATACATGGTCACATGGTTATTCTTGGCAGTTAAAATTAGTTATAATTAGTCATCATTGTTAAGGTGTATAAGTGATTATATTCAGATTGCCCTTCTACTAAAATTAACTTGAAACCAAGCAATTCAGCCATAATTACTTTGAGAGCTTGTTTGGAGGTTCTAACAGGGGAGCACAGCTACTTGTATACCCTTGACCCAACAAGACCAGTCCTCCTCTATCATAGATGGTCATCCTTTTTGACCAAGTGTGTGGCTTCAGGAGGGACACATATGGAGTGGCGAGGGAGGAAGGGTCACCAGCCTAGCCAGCCAGATCAGCTGAATCAACCCTGGCCATCAGTGAGGTGCAGATATTGCAGTCAGATTGCCTTCACATCCCCTACCTATATTACTTTGATGTTCAGTCCAACCCACAGTACTCTGATGCACAGTGTTCATTCTGTTACAAAAATGGTCTTTTTACCTGGAGTTTTATATTAAAAGACATAATTATATTTGGAAATCAACTATAATTCAACATCTGCAATCTTCAATTATTATAGCAGTCTGTTCACCATTAGTTCATGATATCTCGGTCTCATTGGAGTTGCAACAAATAGATCCACATAACAAGTACTTTTTTTTTTTGACTCTACCCCTGTTGTGTTTTATTTTAAAGCCTGATTTTATATTATTTGTTGTGTACTTAAAGAGGGGTATGTGATTCCTGGGTTAGGCTGTATCTGATTTCTTCACAGCAAGATTGTGTTTTTTCCCCTACCTAACAGTAATTAACTTTTGGCTCTTTCCTTTTCTAATTATACCTTCTCAAGCCGTACCAACCCACATTGTGTTGCTGAAGTTACTCCCTGCAGCAGGTGTCAGGAAAGGAGAGGAATAATTCCGCTGCTTCTAACTGATTCATCAGAGAGTTATGAGACGCCTACCCCTGCCTTTTTTTAGCTCCTAAACTCTCTAATCCTATAGCCAAAGAATTTAATTTTAAATAAATATCCAAAGAAATAGGGTTCCAGGGATATATTCTTGACTATCAGGCTGATAGGTTTTAGAATATGCATAAATGTGTTTTGTATATATTTATATATTTTTGATTGAATAGATTTAATCTGGATTTCATGTGGGAGCACAGTTTCTTTTAGAAATTTTAACTCGTGGTTCAGTTAAAAATCTCTTAATTTTTCAAGTTTCGTCTGTTTAGTTTTAGAAATGCTCCCTAAATAGTCAGTTGGGTTCCTCTAGCTGCTGTGGTTGGGCTGGCTTTCAAGGTCTTCAGTGTGAGTCATGTCCCAAATCCAATTCTCATCCTTATTTTTTTTGACCCATTTGGCACAATTAGACCTCCCTCTCCCCACTCCACCCCTCTCTCTTTTAAGAGACAGGGTCTTGCTTCGTGGCCCAGGCTAGAGTTCTATCGTGCAATCATAGCTCACTGCAGCCTCCAACCTCGGGGAAAATGGTCTTCCCTCTTCAGCCTTCCAAGTAGCAGGAAGTACAGGTGTGCACCACCTTGCCTGGCTACACTTTAAAATTTTCATAGTGATGAGGTCTCACTTTGTTGCCTGGACTGGTCTTGTCCTCAAGTGATCCTCCCACCTTAGCCTCCCAAAGTGTTGGGATTACAGGCATGAACCACTGCACCCAGCCCCTCCCTTTCTTCTTGAAACTTTTCTCCTTGACTTCTGGGATTACTACTCGCTTTGGGAGTTCCCCCTACCTCAATGGCTGGTATTTGTCTTTTTTGTTTTTGTTGTTCTCATTTCTTCTTTTTACCAGTCCCAAATCCATGTTCAACACTCACATTCAAAAATTCTTAAAAATATTTTTTTTATAACATATTTGACAGCAAGACCTAAGTTGACCTGAAATTATTCAGTAAAAAAAACTTGACCTAAATTAGCAGGAGGCTATAGTTTTTATCCCATCTTAGTGTGAATATTCATATATATTTTTTTGCCACAGAAATGTTTCTTCCAAGATCTTGCTGAGAATGTTATATAATAAATCATATTATTTCCAAAGTCTGAAATATTCTAAATTCTGAAACACACCTTGGTGCCAAGGAGTTTTGAGTAAAACAGAGCATAGACCCATTCACTGAGTTTCTTGGCGATCTCTCTCATTTGGTCTCATGACTTTAATTCCGTCATTACATCAATGACTCCTAAATTTGGGTGTCTAGCCCAGCCCTCTCTTCTGAATTCCAGACTCATCTGCTCAGCTGCCTGCTCAGTGCCTCTGCTTGCATGGCTAGTGGGTGTCTCCAAGACAGCATGTTCAGACCCTATTCTTCCCCCCAGTCTCTTCCTCCTGCCATCTCCCCTATCTTAGTTAATGGCAGATCTGTCCTTCATCTGCTCAGGCCATGTACTTGAGGATCATTCTTGACACTCTGGCACTGCACATCCAAATCTAGTGACAAATCTTGTTGACTCCTACGTTCACAGCAGCTCCAAATCAGACTGCTTCTCACCCCCACCCTGTCAGCACCCTTACACAGTACTCACTTGCCTCAGTGCTCTCCACCTGTTCTTCCTGCTTCTTTTCTTGCCCCTACACACTGTTTTCAGCAAAGTGATCCTTTTATAATGTTGGTGAGATCCTGGTACTATTCTCCTGCAAGCCATTAATTAATCAATTAATTAATTAATTATGGAGTCTTGCTCTGTTGCCCAGACTGGAGTGCAGTAGCATAATCTCAGTTCACTGCAACCTCCACCTCCCGGGTTCAAGTGATTCTTCTGCCTTAGCCTCCCGAATAGCTGGGATTACAGGTATGTGTCACGACACCTGGCTAGTTTTTGTATTTTTAGTAGAGACTATTTCACCGTGTTGGCCAGGCTGGTCTTGAACTCCTGACCTCAGGTGATCCTCCCATCTCGGTCTTCCAAAGTGCTTGGATTATAGGCATGAGCCCCCGTGCCTGGCTTCCTGCAAGCCTTTTAGAAGGCTTCCTTTTATACTCAGAATAAAAGCCACTGCCCTCACCATTGGATACAGAGCCTTGCATGACCTGGGCCACCTGCTCTCCCTTACCCTTTTGTCTCCCCCTCTTGCCCCTTGATCACTCTGCTCTCATCACATGGCCCTCCCCACTGTTTCTCTGTTCTTCCCAGATCTACACACAGCCTTCAGGTCTAGGCTCAGGTGTCACCATATGAGTGAGGCCTTTCTGACCACCTTAGTTCAAACAGCACCTTTTTTGTTGCTGCATGTACTCCTTCCCTGCTTTCGTTCTCACCTTAGCAGGTATCACCATCTAACATGCTATATAGATTTTACTTGTTTGTCTGTCTCCAAGAATATAAGCTCTTTCACTCTTCTGTCTTCAGAGAAGTTTCACAGTTTCTAGAACCAGATAATTTATTGGTTCGTGGTGGTGCTTAATAACTTGGTTGAAGGAGGCTGTATACCTGGTTTGGTCCAATAATAATTTATTGAGTGTGCCTACTATGTGCAAGACACTCTGATAGATGCTGGGCATAAAATGTAATATGATCTCTCCTTTTAAGGAATCTGGAGGCCTCCAGGAGACACATATTTTTGAGTAAAGCTCCAATTCAAACTGTGATAAATGTTATAAACAGAGGTATGTATGTGTAAATTTGAGATGGAGTTAGCCATGTGGGGAAGTTGGGGACATTTGAATTGATTCTTGAAGAAAGATTTTATTTATAAAGCCAAAAAGAGGTAAAGGGGCACTTGAGATATCAGAAACTTCTGGGCATGGTAACATGTACCTGTAGTCCCAGCTACTTGGGAGACTGAAGCAGGAGGATTCCTTGAGTCTAGGAGTTCCAGTCTAGCCTGAGCAACATAGTGAGACCCCGTCATTATGAAAAAAGGAAGATATCAGAAATCACTTATACATAGGCATAGAGGGATGAAAACACCTTGTGCTTGAGGAATTGAGAGGGATTGTATGTTTCTGGGCTGGAAGAGTGGGAAAGCGGGTTTAGCTAAAGCTGAGGAGCCTTCTAATCATACAGAAGAATTTGAACTTTCTTCTTTGAGTATTGGTGAGCTTTCCAAAGTTTAAAGCAGAGAAAAGATGTGATCAAAGCCATGCTTTAGTAATATTTCTCAGACAGTACTTAGGTGATGTTCTGGAGGTAGAAGGATCAATGAGGAGACATTATAAAAGTTCAGGACTGAGATGACAAGGACCACAATCCAAACATTGGGAGAGGGAAAGAGGAAGGAAGAGGAACAGATGAGTTGTTAGGCAGTATTATTGACAAAGCTTGGTGACCAGTTGGATATGGAATGAGAGGGAGAGGAAATATGTGGGATGATGATTCAGGAGTTTCTATGTTATTTGGCACCTGGATGGGTGTTAGTGCTGAGAGGTACAGGGAAAGAAGTAGAACTGGAGAGGATGGTGAATGGGCCTTGATTTTTGGACATGCTAAGTTTTAGGTGACTGTGTTGCCTCTCAAACTGTGGAGCAGTCTGCCTATCATTCACACATGCGTATTCATCTTAGGTGACAGGGGAAGTGAAGATAAAATACATGTGAGTTTGCTTACAATTCGATCTGAAAAATGGAGTGGATAAGGTTGCTCAGGGTGAGCCTGGGAGATGAAGAAGAAAGGGCCAAGGTAAGATAAACCCTAAGAAATGCTAACATTTAAGGAGTGGGCAGAGGATAAACAGCCCATGGCAGAGATTTACAAGGCATGGCCAGAAGGTAGAAGACCTGACCTCTAGTGCAAAGGAAGGACTAATATGCTTTGTTTTTCTCTCTTCTTCAGGAGAAGTTTCGGTGTCCGACATCTCTGTCTGTTGTTAAAGAAAGAAACCTCACTGAAAATCAGGAAGAGGATGTTGATGATATCTTTGATCCCCCAGTAGACCTGTCCTCGGATGAAGAATATTATGTTGAAGAAAGCAGATCTGCCAGGCTTAGGAAGTCAGGCAAGGAGCACATTGATAATATCAGGAAGGCGTTTTCCAAAGAAAACATGCAGAAGACACGGCTGAATTTTGACAAGAAAGTGAACAGAATTAGAACTAGAATAGTGACCCCGGAGAGGAGAGAGAGGCTAAGGCAGTCAGGAGAGAGGCTGAGACAGTCAGGGGAGAGGCTGAGACAGTCAGGGGAGAGGTTTAAGAAATCTATTTCTAATGCAGCTCCCTCCAAGGAAGCTTTTAAGATGCGTAGCCTCAGGAAAGGTAAGGACCGAACAGTGGCAGAAGGTGAGGAATGTGCCAGGGAGATGGGCGTGGACATCATTGCCAGGAGCGAATCCATGGGTCCCATCGGTGAGCTCTACTCTGATGAGCTCAGTGAACCAGAACATGAGGCAGCCAGGCCGGTGTATCCTGCCCATGAAGGAAGGGAAATCCCCACCCCTGAGCCTTTAAAAGTTACTTTTAAACCTCAGGTGAAAGTAGAGGATGATGAATCTCTTTTGTTAGATTTAAAGCAGTCATCATAAAGAGGACTTAAGTATAATCCTAAATATGAATATCCTAATCATGCAGTTTTAGTTTGAATAGTGTGTAGTCATCTATATTTCTGTGCCATGTAGGAAAACATAAATGGTTTTTTTCCTTATATTTAAAATCTTGAGAGTAGTATAAATATTATATCCATTTCCTTGTAACTTCCTTGGGAATTCTTCCCCCCCACCGCACCGCCCCCCACCGCCCCACCCCAAGGTTATGTGATTCCTGCAGCCTTTTCTCTTAGGTCACTCTTTGTTATGGCAGCTGTGGATTTTTTAGTTCTTTTCTGTTGTCCACCAGAAAAAGTTTCCTAGGGCGGGCCAGTTACATGTTTGGTAAGGGCAACTTTGTGGCCATCATTTGCAAGTGAACTCTAAATACTGGTTAGGATTAATATTGTGGCCAGCCTCAAAGGGGAATAACTTACATGTGGGTTATATCATCCAAATGTTCAGATCAACAGATTTGTTAGTAAATTAGCAGTCACACCTTTTTTTGATGCTTTCACATTAAATAATTGAAGTTCTGGACTTGAACATCTGGCTCTAGTGTCACAGCTTTACTTACAAGAAAACCCTTGGCAAGTAATCTATTTATTCACATCAGTAAAAATGGAGAGGGTTGGCTGTGCTGTCCGCCTCAGAGGACTATTGTGAAGATCAAAGGAAATGGTACACATTCTGGGGAATAAGAAGCACACCCGGAGAAAACAAGCCTCGCCAGTTCCTCAAAAACAGAATCGAAAGAATTACACCCTCTGAAAAAGCCCTGAGCACCAATCGATGAGGTCCTAGGTTGGACAGAAACTAAAGTTGGTTTTCAGAAGACTTTTCACAGATTCAAGAGTGAAAAATAAATAACTGTTTGGGTGACCACTTTTTCATCAGACTAAAACTAAACCTTGGTTTTTAGTTGGGTCTCAAAGTGTTCCCTGGCTAAGTCCTTTCTAATTTCCTTTCAATTAAGATCTTTGGTGGACTGTAGCACTGCATTTGTTTGAGCAGTATGAGGCGTAAAATTGGCTGTGTTGTCAAGTGGGCCTTTCTAAAGTTGGCCCTGATGCATTGGGTTTGGAAATGACCTCAAATATTCTTGTTTTTCTGAGTGTGCCCTTCAGGGCCCAACTGTCCAAAACAATGTTCATAGGAGTTAATCATAGCTGCTTTGGGAGGAACCCAGATTCCCCTTATCTGTTAGCTTCAGCTTGTTGAATCCAGAAATTAGAACAATGTCTATTGTTGCTACAGAAAGAAAGAAATGGGCTGGGCACAGTGGCTCATGCAAGCAATCCCAGCCCTTTGGGAGGCTGAGGCGGGTGAATCACTTGGGGTCAGAAGTCCAAGACCAACCTGACCAACATGGTAAAACCCCGACTCTACTAAAAATAGAAAAATTAGCTGGGTGTGGTGGCATGTGCCTGTCCCAGCTACTCGGGAGGCTGAGACAGGAGAATCGCTTGTACCCAGGAGGTGGAGGTTGCAGTGAGCCAAGATTGTGCCACTGCATTCAAGCCTGGGTGACAGAGCAATACTCTGTCTTAAAAACAAAAAAAGGAAAGAAAGAAATGGTCATACTGGTTCTGTACTTGTAGGATTTTCAATGTAGCATGTAGCATGGTGTTGTAATAGAGAAGAAATGATGGAATTGTTGAATTTGAAGAGTTGGGACAACAATCAGCTGTCCCACTTTTTTTTCTCACTTTCGGATCAGTTTTTGGATAATCCTATGGTAGTTGGAATAAGTGTACACATTTACACACAGGCATACATAAATTGGCTTTAAAATGTTTGACTCTGTTACCCAGATGTTTGGGTTTTGGGAGTCTGATTCAGCATCATTTCCTCTTCAACCTGCATGAATACATAAAATCATAAATTGTTAATCTTGTTACCTTTTCATATTGAAAATTAAAGTGTATACAGCATTGGATAACACTTTCAAATGAATAATTTTAAAATGTCTTTATAACATTTTGGAAAGCTCTTAGATGCCTAATCACATATTTTCTTAGGAGCCATAATAAATTTGAATTTAAGAAAACATTATTACAACGTTTGATCTTAGTGTCCTATAAATATTTTTACTAATAATGCAAATAGTGAATGTAAAGAAGTTACAAGCTTTTTCTTTTTTCTACCCCTATGCAGAATAAATATCAGTTGGCTGGAAATATTTTTCTGCAAATATTACTGTCATGGAATTTTTGTAGTCAGTTTGCTTACTGACTCATTATATAACCAGACTTGACATTTTATGGAACATTTCACATATAGCTATATTTGAATTTTGATGAGGAAGGAGTTACAACCTGGTCAGCTCTTCATCATGGTAGACTTTGTGCAACCCCAAAACACTAAGCAGTTTCATGTCCCTGGAGGTTTACGGTAACCTTGTACTGCTCTCTTGGTACTATAATTTTCCCTCCTCCATATTGCTTCTGTCTCTCTTCATTTCTTCCCACATTTGGGACATTCTGAAATTCTTCATTCATAATTTATTATCCCTTTAACTTAATTTTCTTGATATAAAATAATGGGCTGCAAAATCAGACATCTCATTTGATATAAGAAATATTCTAGTCAGTGTTCCTATTTTAAAAGTTTTAGATAACAGGGACAGATTATTTTACTTACTCATCTGTATTTTAGAAATTTTACATACCAGATTTTAAACAATGTATTCAAATGAAACCATTAGCAATATTGCTTGCTCTGAGACAGAACAGTGCAGCATCTATAGACACCAGGGGGCATGGAACTACTCAAGATCTTCTGCAGAATAGACAGGATAGGGGAGGGGGTGCAAGTCTGTCTTCTGAACTTGATGATCCACGTCTTTCCTCTGAGTGGGTGATAGCCTGATTCTAGCTTATGGGTTAGAGAAGCAGGGCAAACAACAAAATACATGAAAATTCAAGGCCAGGCATGGTAGTTCATACCTGTAATCCCAGCACTTTGGGAGGCCAAGTCAGGCAGATCACTTGAGGTCAGGAGTTCAAGACCAGCCTGGCCAACATGGTGAAATCCTGTCTCTACTAAAAAGACAAAAATTAGCTGGGCGTGGTGGCGGGCGCCTGTAATTCCAGCTACTTGGGAAGCTGAGGCAGGAGAATTGCTTGAACCTGGGGAGTGGAGGTTGTAGTGAGCCGAGATCATGCCATTGTGCTCCAGCCTGGGCAACAGAGTGAGACTCCTTCTCAAAAAAAAAAAAAAAAAAGTAAATTCAGCTTGCTGAAAGTATATTTGTTGTGTGTGTGTGTGTGTGTGTGTGTGTGTGTGTGTGTGTGCGCGCGCGCCAGATTCTATGTGAGGCACTGAGGATTCAAAGATGAATACAGGTTCCTACTTCCTCACCTCTTCCTACCCCATATCTCAGGCTCACTGTTCTGGGAGACAAGCAAACATTCAGCAGTGTGACTAGTGCTATGTATCAGATGATGGAACGGTGGAGATGGAAGCTGTTTAGATTTGCATCTGCCCTAGCACTTGCACTATATTGCAGTTTATTTATGTAACTCTCTTCTAGACTAGACTGTGCTTCTTAAGGTCAGGGACTCATTTTACTCATCTTTGGGTTGCCAGCACTTGGAGATCCTCCCCCCCATGTGCTAGCCGTCTGCATTATGAATCCAGAGATGAAAGTTGTGGTCCCAGTGCTTAAGGAACTTTTCCCTTGGTGGAGGAGATAGATTCATCATGCTCAGATTGAAGAAAGTATGATAGGGGAACGTAGAGGGAAAATATCTCACAATCTGGGGAAAGGCTGTCAGAAAACTAGAGAAAGCATTGCTTAAGTTGGCATTTGAAGGCCATTTGAGTCAACTGAGTAACAGAATTTAAGGCAAGATGCTGCTAGAGATACTGAATGAGGGCGTTCTGAGATTTATGTCAAAGCCCATAGAGAGCCACTGAGAGATTTTAAAGGATATTCTGTTAACAGACCAGAGGCAGACAGACCAGTTGGAAGGGCCCTTGAATTTTTCCAGGTGAGAGGAGTACCCAAACTAAAGCAGTAACTGAGCTATTGAGGGTCAACTTGGCTGTGGGTTGTGATGGGAACAAATGACTGCCAGGTTTCTGAGTTGGGCAAGTCACAAGTGGTGCCAGTCACTGGGACAGGAAATACAAGAGTGTTCTAAGACAGCTCTCTCGGGGTGCTTCTCTGTCTCTTCTCTGACAGCCTTCATTACTCATCCCTCAATGTGGCTGATTAATGAAAGGGAACTATGCCCATTCTCCAGAAGCTTCCCCACTAGAGGTCTGCCCAGTCTAGCCATTGTGGCTCTCACCTATGCGTGAAGAAGCCTCCTTTGAGGGGACCCTTTCCTGGTTCTAGCAGGTGCCTTTCCCTCTCCACCAAGATGCCAAAGTCCTTGGGAAGCAGAACTGCCTTGCAGATCTAAGTCCATTTCCCATCTGTGTCGTCTTTGCTCCAGGCCAGATTTCTATTTGCTGATTCTGTGGTCCAAAGAAAAGCCACTTCTGAGTCTTAGAATGAATTGTCGTTTTCACAAGAACAGAAAACTGCATGTTCTCATTCATGAGTGGGTGTTGAACAATGAGAATACATGGACACAGGGAGGGGAACATCACATACTGGGGCCTGTCGAGGGGATTGGGGGCTAGGGGAGGGGTAGCAGGGGGTGGGGATATTGGGGAGGGATAGCATTAGGAGAAATACATAATGTAGATGACGGAGTGATAGATACAGCAAACCACCATGGCATGTGTATACCTATGTAACAAACCTGCATGTTAGGCACATGTACCCCAGAACTTAAGTATAAGAAATAAAAAGAAACAAAGAATGGATTGTTATTTTCTAATCTCATTTGTCATTGGGCACCTGAGGATTCCAGACAAAGCTGTGCTTTATTCCATCTGACATCACAGTAACAGTTGTTGTGACCAGCTGCATAGGCCAGGGCCAATTGCCCAGGTTCATGTAGCTTCTCCAGTCAGCTGCTGTGGTGGCAGCAAGAGCCTCGATCTCATTGTGGGTACTTGTTTGCAAATTGAATCCCTTTGTGTCTGTCACATTAGATCTGAGTCATGGCATAAAAAATGTATCAGGGGTTCAAGGTGGGTTTGATGCAACCCATTCTTCTTCCCCTCCAATTTAGTGGTTCATGGAGAGTTCATACAAGGATTGTCAGCAAGTGGAGAACAAAGTGTCACCTTTATTATAGGCTGAGCTTGTGTTCCATAAATCCCCCCAAAGTAGGGCATTTAGTAAATTCGGCTGGCGAACGTGGCTTAGGCCCTCCTGTCTCCCTGGGACCTGCATGCTCTGGTATGGTGGTAGGTGAGCAAGGTTTGCTGAGCAGGAGTAGAGTCAATTTTCTCAGCTAGTGGTGAAACCTGCAGGCCTGCTGACATCCTCAGCCAGGAAGAGCAGTGGGGATGGAGTGCCTTCCCTCTGTGATCACCTCCAACTCAAGTGAGCAGGTAGCAAAGAGAGGGGAGGCAGAGAAGCCAGGGCCTCTGGGTCAGAACATAGGGTCCAGTTTGAAGCCACAGCCTCGTTTTGCTCTTCT